AGCTGTCAAATAAATGCAGCGGAGTAAAAAGTACAATATTTACCATTTGAAATGTAAGCGGCATGAAATGGAAATACGGAACAAATTTCTACTTAAGAGCAGTACTTGAGTAAATGTACTTAGTTACATTCTACCACTGGTTATCTGCATCAGTGTTAGTGACTCAGAAGCTTAACCAAAGTTTTCCACAAAAGAGCATGATAAAGTTAAAGGGATAATGATAAATGTTGGTTTCAGAGTGCTTACAACCGACAACCAGACAACCACATGTTGCTGTTGGGAAATGCAGTGCAATGTTCGCACACACATACTGTACGTGCATACATAATAGAAAGTGAGTAGATTAGGATCCTTAACCAGCTTCAGATTGAGGTCAATGAGATCTGTCAGGTGAAACTGCAAAGCTCTGTAAGCACTTCAGAGCTCACCCTTCAGTCTGCTATATCCTATGAGAAATGTCAGTATGTCTTTCTTGTTTCTTCTTTCTATGTGTGGACTGGGAGCTGAGGGGTCTGCTTATTTACTTCAGTCACCCCATTTGCTATGGTTGTTCTGTGTGGAGTAGAGAGTTCTTTTGTTTTAATCCCTCTAATCGACCTCTTTGCAAACACACGTTGCAAAAACATTTAAGACCACATCAGACTTCATTTCTATTTTGGTTCTGATATGAGATGAATCTAGTTGGGAGTTCCCAGCGATAGCACCAGGTAATTTAGCTTTACGTGCTTCTCTTTTAAAGGCACCTAAGAACGGCATTGAGAGATAAGCACTTGAGCCGATGTTCATCTTCCGCTGAGCACAGCAAAGTCCCCCTAAAGGTTAGATCACTCCTACACTGATGTATGTCTGCTTCTCCCCACACCTTCGCTCTGCCCTAAAACACCCCTGTCCTTGCACTCCATTGGCCCTCCTCAGTCAGGTGGGTAAAGGATGCCCAAAATCCTCTCCTAAGACAGGAAAATACTCAAACATTCTCCAGTGTTTGCTGCAGGCAGTTGACGCATCAGCTGCGCAGTTGACAGCACCGGTAGGAAAGTAGGCGATCACCTAGGACCTACTCCCATTTTTCCTGACACTTGGCTTTTGAGCAGAGGGGCCCCAAGCCAGGAAGAGTAGGATGGGGGCTGGAGCGAGCGCTGAGGACAAACGCTCCAGAGAGCTGGAGAAGAAGCTGAAGGAGGATGCCGACATAGATGCCAGAACTGTCAAGCTGCTGCTGCTAGGTAAAGACAGTTGAGCTGGATAACAGGGAACCTCATCATCATGGTCATGGTCAAATTTAAGGGCCCCATAAGGCCCCTTGGTGAGGCTATTTTTTATGTTAAGTCCTGCAAGAGAAATAGACCCTATCTGCCTATGGGACATAATTGTAGCATTAAGTCTCTTGTAAAAAGTTTTTTTTTATCTTTCATACACTTTATAAATATCAACACAAAAAGATCTTGGTGACTGAGGTTATGATCTGAATTACCTAATTCTAGCTAAATCTGCTTCATTTTAAAAATGTTAAATGAACTCTGATGAATACAAGCAATGTGTTTGAGTCAGGTAAAAGCTTAATGTCATTGAATTGCTGAGACACTTATAATCACTCAACTCAATCCCTTGTTAATCCTGAAACAACAGGTCCTCAACACAAAGGGCTTAACCCTGAAGGACACAGATACCATACTGCCCATCTCAAATAGGGCCTGTGGCTGTAGCATTGAAGTGCAATAACCTAAATATACCACATGCACTATTTAGTTAGCTGATTGAGATGGAAAATGTGTTTTTTATAAATACTTTACATTTTTTAATTTTAATAATTTTTCAATTTAAGGACCAACACATTCTGTATACCACTATATCTGTATCTATATTATTCATAATAATGTTGGATTTAAAAGCACACAATACAGTAATACAGTAATCTGTTCTGAATGTCTGTCAGGTTGTTACAGATACTTTTTCACGCTCAGCTTCATCATCTCCTCATGACAATGTAGGTCAGGGACAGGAAAAGTTTCCCCTGACATCAGCTTTGAACAAGATTAGACCTGAAGTAAGAAGTATTATGACCTGTTGGGTTCCTCTTTCTGATAAATGCCACAAGGTCACCTGCAGTTAATCTCAGTCTCCTATCAATTAAAGCAAAACATGAATAAAACCACAAAAACTGTTGTTAAGAGGAAATCATGTTTCTCTAAAGTTGTTAAAAATGTTGAAAATGTATTATTATGAATTTATAACTACATTTAACGTGTTTTTCTTCTTTTACAGGTGCTGGTGAATCAGGAAAAAGCACTATCGTCAAACAGATGAAGTGAGATAATTTGACTTTGCATCTAAGCAATGTCTCATTCCCTTTCTGACTGTAAATCACATACTAATACTGTACTCTCTCATCAGAATTATCCACAAAGATGGTTACTCACTTGAAGAATGCTTGGAGTTCATTGTCATTATCTACAGCAACACCCTGCAGTCCATCATGGCTATTGTGAAGGCCATGAACACACTCAATATTAGTTTTGGCCACGCTGACCAGCAGGTATTAACAGCTCACATAGACTTCAATGTGTTTTGCGTTGACTCATTTCAGGTTTCTAGCTGAGAACTAAACATGTGTCCCCCTCTGTCCTCCTGCATTCACCCTGCAGGATGATGCCAGGAAACTCATGCATCTTGCAGACACCATTGAGGAAGGCACCATGCCTAAAGAGCTGGCAGACATCATTTTGCGCCTGTGGAAGGACTCTGGCATACAGGCCTGCTTTGACAGGGCTTCGGAGTACCAGCTCAACGACTCAGCTGGATAGTAAGAAAACCTGCTTAGATTTAAAATTGTTGCAAAGTCTCACATTGGTGTTTGTTATTGAATTAATTGTATTTTCCCCTCAGCTACCTGAGTGACTTGGAGCGACTGGTCCAACCAGGCTACGTGCCCACTGAGCAGGATGTGCTGCGATCAAGAGTGAAGACCACTGGTATCATCGAGACCCAGTTTTCCTTCAAAGATCTCCATTTCAGGTGATTCAGTGTGGCATTTCTCAAGAGGACTGCACCATAACTCACGATCAGTGCTCCCACTATGCTCGATTTCAGTCATAAAGATAACATGCTTCTGTTTCCATACAGAATGTTTGATGTGGGTGGCCAGAGGTCAGAGAGGAAGAAGTGGATCCATTGTTTCGAAGGTGTCACCTGTATCATCTTCATTGCAGCTTTGAGTGCCTATGACATGGTGCTGGTGGAGGATGATGAAGTGGTATGATAACATTTATATTTCACACTTAATACTCTATTTGTGTCTTATCCAAAAAGGATTTGGTAAAACTAAATTTCGACAACGCACATTTTTCTTTCAGAATCGAATGCACGAAAGTTTGCATTTGTTCAACAGTATCTGCAACCACCGCTACTTCGCTGCCACCTCCATTGTACTCTTCCTCAACAAGAAAGATGTGTTCATTGAGAAGATCAAGAAGGCTCATCTCAACATGTGCTTCCCCGAATATGATGGTGAGGTCACCAAAACACACAAATTGCAGTGCATTTAAGGACGATAAAAAGTGACAAACTAATTAAATTAGCCGCTTTCATTTTCATTAAGGCCCCAACACTTATGAGGATGCTGGTCACTACATCAAAATGCAGTTCTTGGACCTGAACTTGCGTCGAGACGTCAAGGAAATCTACTCTCACATGACCTGTGCCACAGACACAGAGAACGTCAAGTTTGTGTTTGACGCTGTAACTGACATCATCATCAAAGAAAACCTGAAAGATTGTGGTCTCTTCTAAGAGCCACGCTGAGACGCCCAATGACGGTGAGTAAAGTTTGCACAGTATCGTAACGATGATTCAAATTTGCGGACCAGCTGATTAAGCAGCGTGTCTTTTCTTTGTTTTCTACAGGGTGATGTTGTAGCCCAGTCACATTCCACTAATCCCTTCATACTGAGGACTGAAGATGAAAACCATCCCCTCAAACAGCCATCCTCAAACCAGTGAACGCAAAAAATAAAAATGTAATTTGTTGTGTTCAAAACCAAGTTGTAGCTTTGACCAAAGACTTCAGGTCAACTGAGACCAGAAGAAAGTTCTTAAGTCAGAAAATCCTGTACAGATTTCACACGAGTTGAATTTTAGTCAAGCTAACTTCTCTCTTGAGTCTTTTGAAATCGTCTTTGGGAGGGCTATGCAATCTGTAGTTAAGACATCAAAAGCTTCTGTCAGCATAAAGTGATTTTTTCTGACATGTACTAATGAATAGATGTCAAGCTTATGCATTGTCTCTATGCTCTAGTAACTGGTCAGTATACAGCCAAAAAGCAAACAAGAGGGCCTCACCACCTGCAGACGCACTTCAACTTTTGTTAGAGATTTAAAAAGAACTTGTCGCTAGAAATGGCTTTTACATGCAGAAACTCACACAATTCAAACAGGTAACAAAAAAAAACAAAAATTTCTAAGGAGAGTGTTAGAAAATTTTACTTTTTGCAGTAGTTGAAAAGGGCCAGTGTATATAATTAAAATGTTTTCCATATAGTGTGGCGATACCATGTGGATCTATAACACTGTTGAGTGGTAGATGTAATATAATTAAAAATCCTTGTCTAAAAGTTAAATGAATCTACGGGCCTTTGAGTCGATTTATCTTGTACAGTAACCAATAACTGTAAACCTTGACTAAACCTATTAAAGCTTCTGTAGAAAACTGAGTAGTTTTCCATTTTTCACAAATAAAAATCAACAGAGCAATATCTTGTTCATACGTCATTTATTAATTTTACAGAATATTTCATGACTTCTAGAATTATAAAACCAGTCACGTTTAGGATTGAACAGCATTTGCCTTTAATTTTAGTCAGATTAAATTAATAGTTTCAGTTTTGGGGAAATACAATGATTCACTTTCTTTCAGAGAGTCAGATGAAAAGATCAATACCACTTTCATGTCTGTACCGTAAATAGCAAGATACTGCCAGCAGCGGGTTAGTTTACTAAAATCTACTCATAATCATCTCTAAAGTTCACAAATTATATCTTATTCAAATTAATTAAAAGGAGCTAGAACATGTTAATTAGTGAGTTTAGAGGTGCTTGTAGATGGATTTTGTTAGCATTGGACAGAGCCAAGCTGGCTGACTACCCTTGTCTTTGTGCTAAGCTAGGCTAACCTGTTGCTAGCAGCAGCTTAATATTGGGACCCATTTTCATCAAATTTGCGTAATTAACAATCCAATTTATTTTAATGTGTTTTATTAAATAAAATTAACACCATACATTTGACCTGTGCATGCGCGTAAGAGACCTGCAGGAACAACAATTTAAATTTCTGAGCAAACATTTGCCATCTGCGTTCTAGTCTTGCTCACAAATCATAATCACCAGATACCCAGACTGGTATGTGGTATCGATCTTGTCCGTGTATTTCCCATAATGTTTAACTATTCCTTTAAAGGTAATCTGGTACAAAGTGGCTGGGATTATGTTAGCCAGTTAGAAAACTCAGAAATATCATTCCTATGGCCTGGAGCAGTTCACACAACAATTGAGAATATGAACAGCTGTCTCCCAAAGCCAAAGAAGATGCCAATGTTGTGGTGTAAGGGATCCATGCAGCCTGAAGCTCTGAGCTTTACTTACGTACACTCACACAGGATGTTTGGTAAGAGATGAACCAGTCCAGAATATATACTTCAGTTGAGCTGTACATGAATCAAATCTCACCGTTAAGGGGACAGCATACACTTTTTCTTTCTGCGTGGAACAATAATGAATATTCACAGTACAACTGTACTTTAGTTCAGTGCAGTTATTCTTTGACCTCAGATAACCAAGTTAAGACTATCCTAAGACATTTCAAGAAAGTTTTATTTTTTATGAAAGCATTCATTGATTTTTGTTTTTCATTTAAACCCTGAGTTCTCACCACATGACAATTAATAGGTATGTTGATGTGCAATTAAGAGAAACATAAAGAAACAGTAAATGGCAACTTCCATCTACTCTAAACAAGAATAAACTATTTGTAGTAAATACGTCAGACAGAAAAAAATAGTGAAAAACACATTTTCACTCATTAACATTAAAAAATACATTTTATGGCTTGTTTCGTCATGTCTTAAAAAAAAAAAAACGCGGATGTCATAATCGGTGTAAAACTGTATACACATGGAATGACGCCAATTGTGCAATATCAACAGTGGCTCCAAAAATACTTGACAATGTTATGCACAACTAATATGCACTGTAGAGGAGAAGAAAAAACTGAAGGCACTTTAAAAACAGCAAGAGTCACCCTGAACCTCTCTCACTGCCGTTATCTGTTAATGTGCAGCCCTTATGTGAAAGCACAGAACTAGTCAAGTGAATAAACTGAGAAGAGGCACTAATCATCATGTTTAGAGAGATACTTTTCGACGTGAGTGTTTTTATAGGCTATGCATTTTACATATGTGTGGCTAGATGGCACTGTTCCCATAAACACATAATTATGATTCACAGCTCAGCTGTAATTTCAAATATGCACACATATACACACACACAAACACACACACACACACACACACTCATACCTGAACACCTCAACAGACATTTTTTGCTCCACATAGTAATTTTAAAACCACTTACACAACCTCCTCATTTTGTAGGCGAAAGATTGTTCGCCTTTGACTTAATGCAGCAAGTGAAAAAGTTGCTTTCTCAGGTTTTGCTTTCGTACCAGTTTCCTGAGCAGCAGAACAGACGGGACGAGGATTCTGAGCAACAGCGGATCCGTTTTAATCTCACTGCATCTGCACCCGAGGGTGTGTGTGCCGAAGGCTTGTTCTTGCCAGTGTCACCACATGCATCCTCTTAACTCAGTAAAGTCCCACCATGTGATCGATCTGCCTCATGTAGGCGCTCTTTAGTGGCAGAGAGTACCGCTGCTCCTCTGAGATCCTGTTGCACTGCAGAATGAGAGAAATAGGAAAAATTCATTCATCATAGCATTGTGTTTTAAGAAAAGGTAATGTTACATATGACACTGTAAACAGTGAGGTGGACTGGGTCTTACATTGCTGATGTTGCTAAGCCGGTTGTTTGGCTCACTTTCTGTCAGCACTCCCTCTTCACAAGGAAACAAGTCATTCCACTGTTTCTCCCTGAAGAGCTTGTCTATAGGCACAACGTGGCCCTCTGTGGTGAAGATGTACTTGTTATCAGATTTGTGAAGCGGGTTGTCCTCATCAAACAGCTGCAATGCAAGTGAGAAATGTCTGAATTTTATTTTGACAATGGCTGGGTGACACAAACAAAATTTAAAATGAGGATACCTCGGCATTAATATTGTGACAACATTCAGAAGATAATCAATAGTGTTAATTATAGATATTATAATAATAATCAATTTATGATGATTTCAGTAATTTATCTGTTTTATATTGTTGTGAATTGTGAATTAAGTATCCATGGGTTTGCAACTGCTGGTTCGAACAAATCAATCAATTTTAGGATGCTACCTTGAGCTCAGTTAATATGTTAATGAGTGAATCCATTGATTGAAAAAAATATGACTTAATCTATTCTAAAAAAATATATTAATTGTAACAATAATTTAAAATATAACAATTTAGGAAAAGGTTATAATGAACTTTTTGCTTAGCTACAATAGTCTAGTTTAATAAATTGTACCAGTTAACTGTACTCCAGGCTCTAAGTTTAATTCCAGGAAAATACAAGTTAGTCTATTACAATAGCTTGTATAACAGTGACCCAAACTTTATATCACATTATGCTCTCAAATCATGAGGTCACATAAATATATAACATTAATACGGCTGCTACCTTGGCCCGGCCTCTCTAGTAAAAGAGAGTTTTGATCTCAATGGGACTTCCTGGTAAAATGAATAAATAAAAATATACAATAAAGCTATATCTCTGACATGCTCAGGTCATGGCTTACCAGATAAAGGTATTTGCATGTCTCACTGAGGAAGAAGCTCTCCATACGATCTTCTTTGGATTTGTCCACAACATGGTGGAGAGTGGCATACCCACATCTGCAAATGACACAGCTCGGCTTAAAGTAGACATATCCAAGTATCGTAAAACTCCCCCCAAAAAAGCACAATACTGTATGATCCCCACCTGACTTTGGCATTTTTCTCAAGGCTCTGAAGAATATCCATTCCAACGTGCAAATAGAAAGGATTTTTGGTCGCCTGTGGGAAGTGAAGAAGAAGAAAAGACCCCATGAGTAAAAGATAGCATACAACAAACCACCAACACTAATTAATTACGACAGGTCAGAACTGTTACCTGGTACAGCAGATAGGTCGACTCTACCAGCTCTGGTCTTAAAGGGTAGAAGAGCACATCGGGAGCCTGCAGCTGCCAGTTGTATCTCTCTGGCAAAGCCCCGAAGCGCTTCCAGATGGCATAGTAGAAGGCGTGCAGGCAAATTGCATTATCTACATCACCATTCAGCACCTAGTATACAGAGTGGAACCGCCTACTTTTAGTTAAACACAACACAGATTTCACCTTATGTGTCACAGCTTAAAGTGCAAAATCTAACCTGCAGCCCAGGAAAAAAGGCCTGAAGGGAGTCAATCCAAGTGTTCATTATCTCACCGCTGAACATGTTCACATTAACATAGAGAGGTGGATCACCCTCTCCTTCATTACATGACTCTCTCCTGGAAAAACACAGAGGCAGAGGAGGTTTCACAATACGTCATACTACTCTGTCAGTTATGTCCCTATTATCAGCAGTTGCTGAGGAGGAAGAAAGTGTTACTGTGTGGCTCTGTGTGAATGCAGATGTCCCATCATACGTCTCGTGACTGCCACAAGTGTCAGAATTCAACTTTCCACATCCTTCAGTAAGAAAAAGAATACTGAAAACAGTCAGCAGTTTCATTTCCTCTTTGTTTGGTGCCAATCTCAGACTCATTTACATGGCTGCAAAAGTTTTTTGTTTCAGGTGCAACCTTGCGTGAATCTTCCTATTGCCGCCAACACGCCCAGTTACTTTTACACAAGCTGCAGTGTCACATTCTTTCAGTGCGGGACTCACCCTCTTCTCATGTGGTTCTGAATGCTTTCATAAGCAGCTTGGAACATCTTGTAGTCCTCTTTTTCACCAAACAGGATGTATGATTTGAGCAAATACTCATAGAAGGAGTCCATACCAGCTCCCAGACCGCTCTGCTTGCCAACCCACTGGCCGGTTTGGATATTAACAACATTCCCTAAAGAATTACAGAGAGAAAGTAAAGTTTATGATGACCGCAGACATCATATTTACATGTCGTAGACTTACCATTCTGAGTAAAAGTTTACATTATAAGCTGTGTGTACCTAACAGACCGGTTTCGTTGCTCCTCAGGCTCCACAGAGCTCTGACAGCTCGTCTGGCGACCCACTCAAACGTGGAATCTCCAATCAAGCGGCTCAAAATCCCAAACTCCACCAGCAAGGACCCAGCTCCTGCAGTACAAGTCTCATTGATGCTATCAGGAGGAACTCCGGTCTTCAGGTTCACCTGCATTTAAGATACAAATCAATAAAGATGCTGAGTGACATTTTTCATGGTTGGCGTCTTCATCGTCACAACAGTCTCACTCACCCTGGGGTAAGGAATGCCCGTGCTGGTGTTCTCAAAGGCCGGCAGCAAGCGGACAGCCAAGTCATGAGCCAAGTGAAGCAGCTCGTTATCGTAACCCTCTAAGCCCACCTTGCCAAAAGGATGTTTTGGGTCTGTTAGCAGGATGTGAGATGAGATAAGGCCTCCCAAGATTCTTCAGAGAAAAGGGGTTCCACACAGCAACATATTAATATCAGTATCATGACATCTGTTTACCCATTGTAACTCACATGTCAAATTGTTGACCATAGACATTCACATCAGTATCACTGGTAACACCTGTGTTGACCCTACTATTTCCTGTCAAAATGGCCGCTGTGAAAAAGGTCTATTCATTTTTTAAAATCATTTCAAACTGAATTTAAAAGTCCAATTGAGCGCTACAGAAGTAATCATGATCACATTCAAGATTCTGACTTTCACTTACAATTAAACTTGATCAGGTGCAAAACTGATGGGTTGTTTTCAGAGTGCCTGCTTTACTTTTTAAAGTTCATTAAATCAATCATATACATACTATAAGCTAATTGAGTGTAGCTGAATATTATTTAAAAAGCAAATCATAAATTTGATGTAGTGAAATTCAAGATCGATATAAGACAGATGAAGCAGTTCTCTGGAGTGTTTGACAAGATTTTTTTCTTGAAATCTGAAATAGTTAAGAGTTCTGAGAATGTCGTCAACTCAAATGAATATCAAATACATGAAATAGTAGCAACATTTGTACCTGATGTTTGCCTCAAAAACTTGCACAGTTGAGTCTTTGTCAAAAGACACAGTTTCTATAACCAGCTTGACAGCTCTCTGGAACTCTGTCACATTGCCGAGCACCTGCAGAGAACACCACATTATATAACTTCAGTATACCATATCAACAAGCTTCTTTGGTCACACAACAACTAAGTGGCTTCCAGGTATTTTGCTCAAATTCTATTTTTATCATTATAGAAACTATTGAAAACGCTAAACCATCCAGTTATAACTTCATAAAAGAGTCCAGTGCAATAAATAACTCTCACAGAAAATATTTTGGCAATATTTTCTAATTCAGGATACTGTTTAGGATTATGGATTCTGGATCTGAGCACAGGACAAAGAGACACCTTGGGTTTAAACACAGTAACACTTGTACCTACAGGCAGTAGAGACTCTGCTCCATCTGACTCCGTGTCAGGGGAAGTTTTGGTTGAGGTAGAAAACACACAACTTACAACACAGGAAGTGCAAACCACTGTGCTACTGAATGGAGAACAAAAGTGATGTTAGGACCATGTAAAAACCTCTGCTTAAAGTTAATATATTGCCAAATGCCAACACTAAACAGAAGGTGAACACAGGGCTCAAAATGAAAACCCTCAGTCTCCCACAACTGTCCCAAATTCTAATTTGTGCCCCAGACTTTGTCTCAAATCTAAGTTCTTTTTGTTTCATTCCACATAATGAATATAGTTTAATAACTTTGTTTCAATAAATCATTCTGGTCCACCGTGTAAGTTCTGCTAGTGTGGGCCAGTTGGCAGTGGCAACACTGGTCTCTCTCTTTTTTTTTTTTTACCCCTGCCTGCACAGATTCTTCCAACTTTATCTCTATAAGAGCAATGAAAACGGAATAACTGTGCTCAGTCTGCAGGACATTGTCTAACATAAAGACACAGTTACTGATACAACTTACCAGTAGGGTGTCTAAGGTGTCAATCAGTGTAAGGGAATAGTTCCCCAATACATCATTTATGTTGATGTTTGACCTGAAATGAAACAGGGAAACGGACTCAGTGGTGTTGTGCAAAAAGGGGGAGAAATTATCAACAGATCACAAAACAGGGAACATTTCACATCACAGAGTGGAGTGTCTGAATGAAACAGCAACAGAAACAGCACACTAAACTTCCTGATATCACACCACAAAGTGTGGTTGTTTGCCCTCATTACATGATTATTATCAGCACATGATTATTTTCATTATCGATACATCTGCAGATTATTTACTCAAATATATATTATTAAATATGACATGGAACAGCAGGAAAGGAATCACGAATGATGATGAAGTAATTAGCTTCAACTGAAGACATTTGACATTTCAAAATCTCTCTTTCTGCTATGTGAATGAAGGAATGTTGATGGATAACATTGTTGAGTCCGCAGCTGCAGATGATAAAGAATGTTTTTTAATCAATCACAGGACAATATTAGATACATATTTAACTGAAAATGCGCATCTAACGAGGAGCAGCATTTATCATCTTGGGGTGCTCACTTTTGTGAATCGAAAGCTCTTCCAGTGATGTTTTCCGATCCTTTTTGCACCATAAACGGAAAAGCGGTCATATCTGAAAACCTTGGCACAAGCATAACTACCAGCATGGCTAGATAAACACTATGGCTTTTTGGGTATTTGAGTGACCTGTTTTTACATGACTAAATTAGCTTCTGTGAGAACGGGATCTTATTTCACATCTTATTCTCAGTTTACTTTGTACGCAAACTGGACAACAGTTGACCCTGAAAATCTAGGATAACAGTATGGGGAGTGAAACTTTTGATTAGATCGCATGTTGTAGTGTAATTCTAGTCTTTCAGTTTCAGTGTTCAGCACATGGGAATAATATGGACAGGTGTAGCTTTCAGCTATACTCTTACAAACTCAAAAAGACCGAACCATCCCCAAAACCTGAAAGACAAGAATTACAACAGCATTCTCTTGGAAATGGGTTTGCAAAAACTTTACCTGAAACTTGCTGGACTTTCACTATAATTACACACACGCCTTTCTTTTTGTCTTTTTACAGATTTTTTTTTAGGTTTATTCCTTGGGTCGTACTAAACAAGCAATTTGAATACGTCACCTAGCGCTCTGGGGAATGTGATGGACATTTTGCATTATTTCCTGACATTTAATAAACTAAATAATGAAATTATTCAATAATCAGCAGATAAATTGATGATAACATAATCATTATTTGAAATCCTAACGTCTTTTTCTAGAGATACACAATAATAATGGGGATGAAAGCCAGAGTATGTATGTGAAGTTGTTTGATTAACTTTCCTAGAAAATAATAAATGAACATTTGAAGCATCAGAACTGTTGTTGTATTATTGTTATAAACAATAGTAATGTCAGATTATCAATCTTTGCTCACTACATCTCAGCCTTTCTCACCCTAAACTATGGGTTATGAACTTCTTTTTAAAATACAAAAATGTGAAGTTATCAGTTACCTTACCGGTATCAGCCATGACAAGCAGGTAATTATTGTTTATCACATCGGCTCCATATCCTGCATCCCTATTTTTGTTTATTTTTGTCTTCATTAGATTACATATTTCAGTATTAACAGTTCCTTAATGTGTCATACAGCCCCTGGGACCCCCATAAAGACCCTTTGTGAAGTGATCCCAGTTTGGGACCTGCTGTACAGTCTGAAGCACAACGTGTCCATTACTGAGCAGCAGTGGGCAGCACTGAGAGCAGCAGGATTACACTACCAGCTAATATGATTACAAACTAAATGCAAATAGCCCGGTCTGCAGAGGACAGTTAGGATGTAAATGTCTGTCCAGCAGGTGTCTGTCAGTCAGCACAGCTTTGAATGACTCACGGGTTTAGCACGTCTGGTCCCCTCCCCTCACAGTCAATGGGATTCAGCTCGTCCTCGGGAAAGGCATATTTCATGTAATTGTCATATCCGAAATAGAACATTTCTTTGGCCATGTCCTTCATTTTGGCTTTGAGTGTGTCCGGGAAGGTCCTGTATCTGCGGACGTACTCGTCCTTGTTGCCATCGAAGAAGCTCAGGTAGGATCTCTTGAGGGACTCCTCTCCCACCTTCGCACAGGTGCTCGCCGTCTCTTCATAGCTCTGCCCGTGTATTCGTTGAGACCACGAGCTGCCCCTCGGGTCGGTCCCCTTTTCCTCTCTGAATAACAAGTCTAATTTGTGCAAACTGAACCCGAGGTGGAAGTTGAACCCCCAGCTAACACTGGGTCCGAGTCCGAAGGCTAACCACAGCACACAGCTGAGGGAGAGTCTCAATACGACCAGACCGACTACTATTGACCTCCATTGCATCTTTGATCCGGATCGATGTTAAAACGCATAATTTAAGTCCACACACCTCCGAGGGGTGAACGAATGTGAAATCCTGTTAGTCAGGCTAAACTACAAGCACACAGAGGTTGTAGTGATTCCGCCTCACACGCTTCCTGTCAACAGAACCGCCCCTCCGAGATCCAGAGCTGTGATTGGCTCTTCCCCTGTGTCGTCATTAGAACAATCGCAGCGCGTTCGTCTCGTGATTGGCCGAGGAGCTGTCAATCACCTGGTCGCGTTTCGTGGCATTTCTGACGTGTCTGAATTGAACTTCTCCTCCAATAGAAAACGGCCACAAGAGTGAGATGTTCAGGGCTTTAAAAGTGAAACAGCTTTTGTTTAAGTTTTGGTTAACACATTTAAAATGACAAAGGCTGCCGGCTACATGACAATGTAATGATATTTTAATCTGCATTATTATGAGTGTTTGTAGCGTTTTGTAATAAGAGCCAAAGTGTTGGTTTTATTGGTGGCTAATGAATAATGTCCTAAAGATGTATAAACAGGTTATTAACCTATCCAATAACCAAAACCTTTTGGGTGGTTGTGAAAAATACTTCTGACTAGTTGGATCGTGTGACCTTCTTCTGGAAAATATTATTTTCCACAAATAAATATCCAATAACCTTATTTAAAAAAAAAACTGACTGTGAGAAAAACTTTTATGAACAGATTACCAACCGAAATGAGGTTTTCCCACAGAGATCTACAGCAGAAGGGCACCACCATTTTTATAAAAGACAACATTAAGAGCAAATGCCATATATTTAATTAGTGTGACACAAATCTATTGACTTATCACAACCACCTCAGTTACATAATACAGACTTGTCACTGTAGGTAAAGTGTGATGCAAATTTCATTAAAGATCATGCATAAGATAGATAGATATACTTTATTGATCCCAAGCTGGGAAATTGCAGTGTAGTAACATCAGGATCCTGGAACTAGCTCACCTGAAGTGAATGCAGTCGTTTTTAATGTTTTTATTACGCCTGTGGTTTTCCTGCTGATGAGGTTTTGTTTTTGATTGGTTTTTTTACCTGAGGCCACCAAACCACATAGTAATAAGAGTACAGTCTGCAGTTACACAGTCTTAGTATCTCTAATTTTCTATTTTCATAATACACTACTTTTATCTTTGTGCTGCCCTGCTCTTGTCTTTACATTGCTACTACTATTGCTATCACTTTGCATATTGGGGTTATAAAGGCAAAACACAAATTAAGTGATGCAATGTCATAATTATGCATTTGGACCACCTGCAATACTAAAATATAGCTTGTATGATTAATATGTTACACAACAAAACTTACATTTTTGCAAGAAGTACAGTTAAATATCAAAGATTATTTTCTTTTACTATTTTAGTATTTTTAAAGGGATATTTAAAGATCCATGGTAGACCTACACAGGTGTTTTCAATTGCCTGATTATAACTGTTGTCAGGACTGTGTGGGTGTGTATAACCTGAACTTGACTGACTCTCATGTAAGTTTTGTTGCAGCTATTATTAGTAAATGGAGTGTAGGTCAGTGGTTCTTAGCCTTTTAGGACCCTCGTCTTATAAGATTTGATTATTACATAACTGTTTATACTGTATTGACAGATTAACAGTAAAAAGTGTGAAACACAATACGTTTGTTCAGAACCCCCTCAAGGACCCCCACACTGCGAACAGCTGATTTAGGTGACCTAATAAGGTAATCCTTTGCATTGTGCCAACAAACATCAACCTGAGCAAAGGTCCTTATTTTCACACTGTGGGGGTATTTGAAGACTTACTCTAAAAATTGACCACACACAGACAGTTCGGTTCAAAATGAAAGGCTTACTTTTCTCAAAAGCCCCGCAACAATAAAAGAAATACCTTCTCAGTAACATGCCAAACATTTCTCATACACCTGCATACACTTATAGAGCGATTTGGTTCATAATTTGGTGTACAAATAACAGGACAATGTCTAAATTAAAAAGCATGCCTTTTTATTTTATGAAGTCTTTTTTTTTACTCTACCCATGTAGGCACACCTTGCACGCTGCTTTGCTTCAGAGGTGAGAGACATTGCACAAGGCACTTTGAATTCTGCCGCTCTCTCAGCCTCAAGGCAGCACAAAGAACATCATTCCACTGGGACTACTTACAAACAGAGGCCAATATGAACCACACAATCCCGTACAGCTTTACTTCTAGTACATTCAGACTTAAATAGAATTATATATTCATACACGCACATCTCACATCAGTAAAAATCATACTAGCTGGATATTTGTACAGACCTGTTTCAATTAACTTGCTTAAATGCACAATTTTCTAAAACAATGGACTCCTTGAAAGAAGAAAACCTGATGGAGCGAAAGGTGATGGCCATCGAAGACAATCACAGGGTGGAGCTCTACAGAAACAGGAAAACCTGGATGTTCACATCAGCCATCTTCTGGCATCATATCTGACTGTGTGAAGAACTTATTTTTTGTTATGTGAGGCCTGTTTGACTAATTCAGCCCTCACTTAAGAAGGGTGTTGTTGTATACCCAAGATTAGTGTTATAAACCACTGGGTATGATCAACCAGTTAATGCCTAAATGTTAAAAAGTAGATAAATTAGGTTCTTACTCCAAGTTAAAAGGAAACAGCTTTGCAGGACGTACAGAATAATGCCAATTGCATTCCTTAAATTTGGTATCAGAATCACATTTTTAGTAGTGCATTCTCAGGGTTTGTGAAATAATCACAAGGTGAAAAGGGGGAGAAACAGAATTTGTGTGAAACGAGCAGAACAGTGCAGCATGTGTGTTTAAGACTGTACATCGACGCAGCAGAGTGATGGGGTTGTGGCATGACAGTAACATGGCAAACACAGCTGGGAAACAACTCGTGCATTTTCAGCTCCTCCTGGATTTTGAGTGCTGGATGAGCCACTGAAGCGTGATATCTGGAATCAAAGAAACGTGCCGAGTCAGTCTGAGAATCAGTTTATGATTCAGGCATTTATACCTCACTTGCAACACAACATATGATACAATACATCCTACAGATTGAGCTACACAGAACCCCATTCAAACACTATAATCATGTTTGGTGCTTGCCATAATGATTGCCTTCACTTATACTGCAGGTTAAGACAAGAGTGGAGGTTTGGGGTCAGAAGTGACACAAGGAAACTCTGTTCTTAAACAAACAAACAAAAATAAATCAGTTTATTTACAGAGACCTCACAATTCCTAAATAGTATCTTTTTTAGTTTTCCTTTATAGAGTAAGTTCGAAGTACATTTTCAGGCCCAACCATTCCCTGCATTTATCTTCTCAGGCTGCATTTTGCCCCAAAAAACTGTGGATCACTTGCTGCTGTTTCTTTAAAGGGGCACTACAATGATTTTGTTTTGCACCATAACGTTTGGGGGACTCACATGAGATATTTTAAAAATGGTCAGAATCCAGAATAGCCAACTCCACCTGAGCCACAGAAGAAATTATACAACTGTACTCATAGGGTGAGTAGTACTCATGAAGAGTAAATTTCATATGTAATATCAGTGGAGTAGCCCTTTAAGTTTATTATTATGCGACCATCTCTTCTCTCATCTGGATTTTTTGGGCTGGACAGTAACACAAGACTGTTTACAGAGATTTGAGTAATTGTGATTAAAATATAAACCGTAAAAGTGCAATTAGGCTATTGATTTACAGTTTCTTTCATTAGCTTTGGCTCATTATTTAAAACACTTATAAACCGTAAGAGCAATTGTTACAACTGTTGTGTCAGTAAATTGGCCAATACCACCAAAATGTTTCAATGTTTTTGAGAAGAATGTCAGTCTAGCTGAATGCTATTGTGTTGCTTTTTAGATTCAGATTTCAACTGTAGGTAAAAGTTGTACAATACTGAAGTACACCGAAAAAGGGTATGCACATACGCATGTATACAGTACATTTATTTGTGTAGCAATGTGTTACATGTACTGTGAACAGAAAGTTAGCCTTTGATCTTTCAACTCATTACCCTCTGCCTATCTGGTTTATTTTATATAGAGCATGTATCAGTGTATTTTGTACAGTTTGAAGCATAGACAAGGGTATTATATTTTTCCTCAGTTGAGGTCATATACCATGTAATTTATCATGAAGGTTTTTCTTCATGTAGGTCGGTTAATCGGGATTGTATAGCTCTTTTTGTGGCTATGCATTTCTGGGCAGTCATACTTCCATTTTTACATCATCACACAGCTCATTGTTTTCATGTCTGTGGTCACACCTTTGTCATTACGAGAGGCTGCTTATGGGCGGCTCATTCACAGATGTATTTGATCATGCAATTATACTGTTTGCTGTTTGTGTTTTAAACCACACCTGTCAATAAATTGCCCTTTTTACTGACTGCACTACACTGATGATTGCTTAGAGCTCAAATGTGTTTGTTTTCCCTCAATAAATAAGAAGATATTTCTCTTTGAGTGTCAGGATCCTGATCATGAAAGTGGTGCAAATTCTAAGTAAGTAAAGCTTTATTTATATAGCACTTTTTAACACACACAGTTACAAAGTGCTTCACAAACACGCAATGACAAACTAATTGTTCAGAGATTTGAATTGCTTCAAAAAAATAATAACAATAATTGGGCCAAAGCAACAGAGAATAACTACAGTCATTAACTGCAACTCACCAATGTTGTCTTTCTCTTTGCAGGAAATTGAGTAGCAGCATATCTCTCTGTCCTGAATAGCCGCCAGGTTCCTTTGAAGTGAAAAAAGTGCATGAACAAATAAATATATATAAATATAAGTATAAGCATGCATTGAGACTGATCATCAATGTCATTCATCTGCAGCTCATCTCAGTTTAAAGTCTAAGCTCAACTCTCAGCACCTTTCTCACTTGACAGCAGAGGGAGCCACTTCCTTACAGTAAACTACCACTTAACACAGTTTAAATAATGGCTCAATTGTTGAGTGTCTATGGGATCAAATAACATAAGCATGATCCCATAGGTATTCAGAGATTGAGGAAAACGAAGCAACCAAACAAAGTCAGATTTTTTTAAGGGGGGCTTAAGGGGCGCCTGTTTCCATGTTTTGTCTGGGGGAGGTTTTGAAAACCCCATTGGAAATATATACAGACC